GAAAGTTAGAGTGGAGAGGAAGACTTCCTATCCACTGCAACCCTAATTTCTTCTGCTTTCTCCTCTGTAGCTCGTACTTAGTTCTTAAGCTTGACTGATTATAAGTCAGTTTTGTGAGCTTACATGTGTTTTCTTTTTCATCTCAATGCCTCCGTTGAAGGTATGTCTCAAAGCCAAGAGGCTTTGCACATAATGTTCTGTGCAACAGACACTGCCCAGGACCACTGTTATGTACGAGTGAGCCGCCAAGGTCCAAGGGATGTAAACTTGACTGCCATGACAGGTACAGTGAAATGAATAATTTCATCGGTGTAACATTTTGATCTCTGTGCAGAGAATTTAGAACGTGAAATCAGAACACCGATTGTAATAATTGGTTTGCCATTTTTTTATATCTTTAAGAGTTGAAGTATAAGAATAATTTTTTTAGCGATAAATAAAGGCCCATAAATTAGTATACTTAAATATGCCACCTGGTCTTCTGCAGGTGAGCTAATTGCCCGTCTATCAGGCCAAAACCAGGGGTGATTTTTTTTTTGGGGGGGGGGGGGGAGGGGCAGGGCCATCTTTGTCATATGGGCCTGGGTGAGGAAGGGGGGAGAGAAGTGCCAACAAAACTGGAAATTTTGACGGGGCCCGGATCCCTAGGGCCCCCACTTTGGACACATCCCTGCCGTCTATATCTGAGGCTGGAATTGACAAGGGAAATGTCACTACTCTTGCAGCAATCCCTTTTTCATTTAGTGTTGTCCATTTTTGAACTTTCAGCATGGAGCTATAAATATGTTGAAAATCCTGACCATTAAAAAATCTTATTATAACCATGTTGACTGATAACCGTGTCCTTGAATTCAATAATGGCAACAATAAATAGTGGCACAGTTCAATGTAGAACTCAATTTCACAATCAGGTGATTGCATTTTTAAGTCACTGATGTTTGCAATGCTTTACTTGTATCCTGTTTTAACTTAAATTTATATGCCATGCATCTAGAAAATATAGCTGAATGAACTTCATCAGTCAAATAAGCCACTATGCTGATTTTGTATTAGAATCTTGGTTCTAATATTTAATATTTATTGGTTATTGCGTTTCTACTCCAAAGTATGTCATTATACAAACTATAGTGTTTGTCTGAAACTCTCATGAAAACAGATACCAGCTCTGATCCAAGTACCAGTGGATGTCCCTTGCCAGCACCGACAGCACAGCATGCTTCCGCTCCACCCTCACTGAAGACTCATCAGAAAGCAGCAATGCTCCACAAGCGAAGGAAAGGAAGAAATCCTCCTCCGTATGGGGGAATTTCACCCCAGCGAGAAGCCAAGGAGCAGCAACATGCATACATTGCCAAGTGATGTGAGTCTTGGGAAGGAAGGGAGCAATGCAAGGTTAGGCACAACAGCACTGCACGAGCACATCAAGCGACACCACGCACACCTGATTCAAGAAGAGATGGGAAGAGTTCAAGCAGCCAACCCTGTTGCCAGGCTAGCTCAAGAGAAGTCAACCTCAACAACTCCTACCACTCAACTCACTCTTCAGCAATTGGTGGAGAGAAACAAGAGATGGGCTCCAAGCCATCCATTAGCAATGGCCTATAACCGAAAACTAGCAGAATGCATTGCAACGGGCATTAAGCCATTCAGTATCGTAGAGGAGCCAGCATTCCTGGACTTCATGAGGTTCTGTGTCCCCAAATGGGTCATTCCAGGAAGGAACTATTTTGCATCCACTGCAATTCTGGCCCTTGAGCATTCCATTAAAGAAATGCTGAATAATCAGCTCAACCAGTGTGTGGGAGTTAAGGTTCACTTAACAACAGGCAAATGGACCAACCAACAAGGCAGAGACTACATGTCAGTTTCTGCTCACTAGATACGATGCAGTTCCCAGAAGAGGCTACTGGAGATATCATAGAAGAGACTACTGGAGAGATCAAAGGCTGTCCTTGACATGTCTGGTTTTGGTCAGGCTCACACAGCGGAAAACATTGCTGAAAAATTAAAAACAGTGATTGTAGAGTGGCTTCATCCGCTTGGGCTTGAGGTGGGTGCAGTCACTAACGACAACGCCCAGAATATGGTGAAGGCTCTTCGAGACAGCTCTTTGAAACACATCCCTTCTTTGGCACAGTGCCTAAATTTGGTTGTGAAGGCAGCACTAGAAAAAATGGGCAAGGAAGCCGAGCAGACGCTCCGGACTCCTCGAGCAATTTGCGGTCATTTCCGCCACTCTCCAAAAGCTCGCGCAATGTTAACAAAGCTGCAGCTCCTTCACAACATACCAGCCCATCAGTTGATACAGGACGTTCCAACTCTTTGGAATAGTACATTTCACATGGTGGAGCGAATGTGTGAACAACGGCAAGCTGTCACCGAATAGTTTGAGGACTCATCAAAGCGCCATCTTGGACTCAAAGAATGGGCTATGCTTAACGCAATGGTAAGTGTGCTCCATCCTTTGAAGGAGTGGCGCGTCTACTTAGCATGGATTCTGCGACGTTGGTTCAGGTGTTGCCGCAGCTGAAATTTATGAAGATGATGTTGGAAGAGACTTCCAACACGACACAGGGGCAGACTGCTTCTTGGCATCTTTCCTCGGTCCTTCTTTGTGAGCTCCGCTGAAGCAGGCATCTCAGTGGAGCACGCACGGACACAACGTTCTCTGCTGCAAGCTTCCTGGACCCCCGCTTCAGGGACACATTCAAAACTTATGTGACGGGTGGTGAGTACCACTTGATAAACGTTCGTGCAAGACTGCTTGCGCAAGCTCTGGACGAGTTCAACATGAACAAAAACAGCGAGCCGGCAGATCCAAGCTTCCCTACTTCCTTCTCCTTCCAGTTCTGCAGTCCAAACAGCAGAGTCATCTTCAACCTCCCATAAGGAAGGCTTGTGGTTTGCACATTATGTTAAGATAGGACTCATGACTACGCCACAGCACTACCCAGACAGACCAGAACAAAAGGAGTGCAGGAAAGTCGCCAAGGCAGAGCTTGATGCTTACGAATTTCACTACCTGACTGGTCACCTCAACTCTGATCCCCTGAGTTACTAGGGCATGCAGCAAGACAAGCTGTCATCCCCATCTGCTGTTGCTCTGAAGTACATGGCAAGCCCCCCGACAAGCGTGTATTCCGAAAGAGCATTCAGCGCAGCCGGGACCATTGTGACCAACCTAAGGACCCAGCTTACACCAAAAAATGCCAGCATGCTCTGCTTCATTCGCATGAACAGATATTTGGCCAGGAAAGACTGCCATTGAGCCCAGTGTCAGCGATTTGCCAAAAGCTGCACAGCAGTGCATGGTGCCAGAAGAAGGGGAGCCCTTTCTTCAGTGAATTGCGTTTACGGATAACTGAAGGGCACCTCACCCCGCTGAAACACAAAAACGTGTAGAGATTTACGAACATTTTGTTTTGTTTGGTTCCAGTTCATTCTATCTACAAAGAAAAAAAGAGGCAGTGTATTCGTCGGCGATTATTTATTTTCAGGGCTGGAACATTTCAACTAAAAAAATAGTTGTTGCTTGCTTAAATTACTACATAAAATCGTCCTTAAGTGTTAATAGGTTGCACTGGTTTCGTTTCTCTTTGTTTTCAGAACGGGCATTTTGTGTGGCAGCGTTATGTATCGAGTTAATAAAAAGGTTAATATATCAAGAATATTATTTCTCTACACAATATCCTAAAGCCACGAGCGGGGCGCCTGCTCACAAATATGCCGTCGGAACTGCAACGAGGAGGCAGTTAAGTTTACTTCGCTTCCAGTATAGACGGGGCACTAGAGTTGCAAACACGCCCATCGTACGAATGCGTATAAAAATGCTTGGCACAACACAAACCCTCGTTTTTCTCTTTTGTTGCTTTTTGCTTCTATGAATACAACACATTAAGCTTGTGCCCGAGATGACACACTACTACATTTGACCCCCCCCCCCCCCAGCAGTTATGCTGCCAGTCGTGCCCTTCTGTAATTAGTAAGAAAGAAAATTACTCGGTTACTTTTTAAGTTTTAAAAGAATAGATTTAAAGCTGACGTAACTGCCCTTTCGCATAAAATGTTCACTACAAATAGCCCATAGAGAAACAAGTTTTAAGAGAATGCCAGGCAATACTCGCCTAGCATTAAAAAATACTAGGCGATTATTGACCTATTTGAACGAGATAGGTCAATACTCGTAACAACTTGAGGCCAGAGATAAAAGGAAGCGATTACGGACTTTAAAAAAGCATTCTTAAACACAAAAGAGAATGTAAAACATTGTAATTACTAAAGAAGAAGATGAAACAAATCGAATAGATCAGCCTACTGTTCTGGCTGGGCCTCGAGAACAAGCAGTTGTTGCAGCTTAAGCGGCAATAAGGGTGTAAACCCTTATTGGATCCCCATGTGTCTATGGCCTGCTAGCTGTAGCCATATAGAAACTGCAAAATAAAAATTTGTGATTAGTTCGCAACAAGTAGCAATCCCTCACTAAGCCGGATTCAAAATTATGTCTGCGTTTGATTGTGGAAAAATAAGCTTCCATTCCACTGCCACGGATCATTCTGAGCTCGGTAAACTAAATATACCTATCGGCTCGTCTGGCTTCACAGTTCCTGCTTTGCACCTAACTAAAGTATCTGGAATGCTCACCTTTGAGGGAAAACAAACTGGTGCTTACTTGCTTGTAGGCCATGGAAACTGGAAGAAAGATTTGCGATTAGTTGCGTTCACGTAGCAATTACATTGAGTAGCCCCGTAAAGTACACTAAGTCGAAAAGATAAAAAAAATTACATGCGCAGGACATAGATAACCTCTTACGACGTAACTGCCCAAGTAGCACGGGGAGCTCGGCCGAAGGATGGCCATATCCCCATGGCCGAGCCATTTTTCATCGGCCATTGCCCGGCCAAAGAGGTCGGTGCCGACCTCGTTATGGTCCCTCGGCATAAGAAAGGCCCACCTGCCCGGGCTTTGGGAGGGCCGGGCCCCATGGCCGAGCACCCCTGGCTCAGGCATCGGCTGGGCACCAATGGCCGGGCACCGGCAGAAGACTAAGGGCCAAGGGCGGTATTGGGTCGGCCACCGAGCTGGCATGGTGGCATTGGCAGAACACCAGTGGCCGAGGGCGGATTTGGGTCGGCCACCAACCTGAAATCGTGGCACCAGCAGAACACCAGTGGCCGAGGGTGGATTTGGGTCGGCCACCGAGATGATATCGATGGCACTGGCAAAACACCAGTGGCCGAGGGCGGTTTTGGGTCGGCCACCGAGATGATATCGTGGCACCGGCAGAACACCAGTGGCCGAGGGCGGATTTGGGTCGGCCACCGAGACGATATCGATGGCACTGGCAAAACACCAGTGGCCGAGGGCGGATTTGGGTCGGCCACCGAGATGATATCGATGGCACTGGCAAAACACCAGTGGCCGAGGGCGGTTTTGGGTCGGCCACCGAGATGATATCGATGGCACTGGCAAAACACCAGTGGCCGAGGGCGGATTTGGGTCGGCCACCGAGATGATATCGTGGCACTGGCAAAACACCAGTGGCCGAGGGCGGATTTGGGTCGGCCACCTACCTGAAATCCTGGCACCAGTAGGACCCCAATGGCCGATGGCGGCTTTGGGTCGGCCACCGAGATGATATCGTGGCACCGGCAGGACGCCAGTGGCCGAGGGTGGCTTTGGGTCGGCCACCGACCTGGGATCCTGGCACCGGCAGAACACCAGTGGCCGAGGGCGGCTTTGGGTCGGCCACCGACCTGAGATCCTGGCACCAGCAGGACCCCAGTGGCCGATGGCGGCTTTGGGTCGGCCACCGAGATGATATCGTGGCACCGGCAGGACGCCAGTGGCCGAGGGTGGCTTTGGGTCGGCCACCGACCTGGGATCCTGGCACCGACAGAACACCAGTGGCCGAGGGCGGCTTTGAATCGGCCACCGACCTGGGATCCTGGCACCGGCAGAACACCAGTGGGCAAGGGCGGCTTTGGGTCGGCCACCGACCTGGGATCCTGGCACCGGCAGAACACCAGTGGGCAAGGGCGGCTTTGGGTCGGCCACCGACCTGGGATCCTGGCACCGGCAGAACACCAGTGGACGAGGGCAGCAACTGGGTCGGCCACCGACCTGGGATCCTGGCACCGGCAGAACACCAGTGACCGAGGCCGGCTTCAGGTCGGCCACCGAGATGATATAGTGGCACCAGCAGAACACCAGTGGCCGAGGCAGCTTTGGGTCAGCCACTGAGATGATATAGTGGCACTGGCAGAACACCAGTGGCCTATGGCAGCTTTGGGACAACCACCGACCTGCGATCGTGGCGCCTGCAGAACACCAGTGGCCAAGGGCGGCTTTGGGTCGGCCACCGAGATGAAATCGTGGCACCGGCAGAACACCAGCGGCCGGGGCAGCTTTGGGTCGGCCACCGAGATGATATAGTGGCACCAGCAGAACACCATGTGGCCGGGGCAGCTTTGGGTCGGCCACCGAGATGATATAAGGGCACCGACAGAACACCAGTGGCCTAGGGCGGCTTTGGGACAACCACCGACCTGCGATCGTGGCACCTGTAGAACACCAGTGGTCGAGGGCGGCTTTGGGGCAACCACTTACCTGAGATCGTGGCACCTGCAGAACACCAGTGGCCGAGGCGGCTTTTGGTCGGCCACCTACCCGAGATCGTGGCACCGGCAGAACACCAGCGGCCACTTTGGGTCGGCCACCGAGATGATATAGTGGCACCAGCAGAACACCAGTGGCCGAGGCAGCTTCGGGTCGGCCACCGAGATGACATGGTGGCACCAGCAGAACACCAGTGGCCGAGGGCAGCTTTGGGACAACCACCGACCTGCAATCGTGGCACCTGCAGAACACCAGTGGCCGAGGGAAGCTTTGGGACAACCACCTACCCGAGATCGTGGCACCTGCAGAACACCAGCGGCCGAGAGCGGCTTTGGGTCGGCCACTTACCCGAGATCGTGGCACGGGCAGAACGCCAGCGGCCGGGGCAGCTTTGGGTCGGCCACCGAGATGATATAGTGGCACCGGCAGAACACCAGTGGCCAAGGGCGGCACAAGGCCGATCGTTGAGCTGGTATTGTGCCATCGGCAGAGCAGCAGTGGTCGAGTGTGGCACCATGTCGGTCGTTGGGCTGGTATAGTGCCATTGGCAGGGCGCCATGCAGTGGCTGACGGGTGGCACTGGTTGGCTGCTGATCTGGCGTTCGCATTGGCAGATGTTTGGCGAAAGTGGTTGGACCAATGCCTGCCATTACCCTCACAAAAATATGTATGGACACTCCTAGGACGTTCTATAGAGCAGCATCCATAGGCAGAACATAAGGCATAGGCAGACCACAACTGCTGTTGCCTTCGTGAAGTCGTCCAATGCAGGGGGTATTCGCAACTTTCAGCGATGGTGGTACCGCGGTGAGAGAATCGTGCTTCTTAGCTCCTGAATGATTGGCCTCCTAATAAAAGGGCTTGCTTACACCTTCCTCTGATACTGCTCGTATATAGAAAAACCAGAATTACTTACGCGTCGCAGACCCAGCCTAGTACCGCTGTTCTACGACGAGCATCCAGATGACCACCATTTTGATAGGCACCAGTGTGCCCCCTATGGGTCGTGAAAGTTGGAAATATCTGCGGGGGCCGCAGAGACCCACATTAGCCTACCTGCCACTGAGAAATTAAAGGAATTATTCCGGTACATACTGAACACTTCCATCTCCACAATGAATATGCTGCCGAGTTTGGACAGGCCTCCAGATATCAATGTAAAAAATTGATCCTTGGCGCTCAATTAACAACTCTTTAACTCTGACACCTTGCTATACGTAAAGAAAACGTCTACCCGGCATTACTTTATTAACGTACCAATATATAGCTCACACCATAGAGAGGCAATAGGATGTCCATAGACTCACCAGGACCATAGCACAGAAACGGGAAGGAATGAAAAACGTTTTGTTTGGCGGAGATCCCTATAGCATTGTTGTGGCTGTTCTATGGTAAACCAGCGGTACATAAATGGTCCAAGAACTGTCTACAGGAATCCGTAGGATGAACAAAGGGGTAATAGAACGGCAAAAGTATAGACCAGGGGTGGCCAAACCGCGGCTCGCGAACCGCACGCGGCTCTTTGCTGGTCCAAAAACGGCTCGCGGATCCCTCGTATAGGGACCCCCCCCTTCCCCCCGCCCCCCCTTCCCGCATTTCCCCAGGAAAAAAAGAAGGGAATTCAGGCAGAATGAAGTACGGCTCGCGGTTTGGCAGCCTTGTACCTCCATACGTACTGCCGTACAGCCTTGTGCACTCATACGTACAGTCAGACTCTAAACAAAAATTCAACTTGGCCGCCTCCTCCTCCCCCTCCTCCTCCTCCTCCTCCCCCCTCCCTCCCCCCCCCCCCCCCCCGTGGCTCTTAGAAGTTTCGTGGTTTCGTTTGCGGCTCTTAGGCCTGGTCGGCCTGGCCACCTCTGGTATAGACAAAGGACGTCCACACATATTTTCGTAAAGGTAGGGCCACTAAATAAGCTACATTTAGAAAATCGACAGTCCATGGTCCAATTGTCTCATGAGTGCCACCACCTCGTTGCCTAATGCAGAGCAGACGCAATTGTCTGTAGTTATGGTTCGAAAAGTCTGAAATCCCAAGTTTTACATAGTGTGGCAGAAAGCTTAGGTGATAACACTTTGCTGTCACAAACTGTTTAAACGTTTCCAGATGATAGGAAAATATATGTCCAGTGATTTCAGATAAGGCTTCAGATAAATGACAACAATGATGTTAAACACGTTGACTAAACCAGTGGTGGAACTGCTGCGCCATTTGGGCCAAACTGCGCCAGAACAAATAACCTGCTACATGCTGCTACAAAGGCTGTATTTGGGCACAATTTGCACCATGCCTGCGCCAAGAGGGGGCTGTCCTTGAAAAGGAAACAAAGTGTGGCACGTGACATTGGTTTAATTTTATGTTAAATGTGTTGTTTACTCGCCTTCTCAATGTAGGCCTTGGGTTGCCAAAGGCATGGTAGCGCTTTTAAGACGAGGACAAAAGAAAGACAAGACAGAGAGCGCTCGTGTCTGTCTTGTCTTTCTTTCGTCGTCTAAAAAGCGCTACCATGCCTTTGGCAATCCAAGACCAATACCAACTAGCCCAGCATTCAGCACTGATAAGTCTCAATGTAGGCATTGGACTTTCTCAGGCCGCAGTCTATAAATATAGCTAGAATAAATTTAATGGAGGTCATAGGTGGACAATTAGAATCCTGGGAACAACCTTTGCGCGTTCAGCTGAAATTTTCGTTTGAGCATGGTGTAACAGTAGTGAAAGGCATGGAGAAAGGCACAGCAACTACTCATTATTTGAGTAACAAAGTACCGTCTGCTTTGTTGCTTTTTTTCTGTTAAAGCACTGCGTGTGAAGAGCAGGGTGCCGCAAATATTCAGATTTCTAAATAGTAGTTTAAAACAATATCGTATTTGGTATTCGTTTAAAAATCGGCTGCAATGTTCGTACTTTTCGAAGTGTCCAACGCGGCAAGTTAGCCCCCTTGAGCGCGCCTCTCCTCAAACACCAGTGCACTGCGGACAAGCAATGCCCACAGAGCTATCACCGCGATCTCGGGACTCGCTTTGCCGCAGCGCAGTCGCGCGCTTAGGCGAAAAACACTTTCAAAGCGGTATGGTGCACGCACGCGCCTGGTGTATTGAAAAAACTAAAGAGGAAACATTGGGATTGTCAATATTTACATTGTAGTAAAATCTTCAAAATTTAACTGTGACTATTATGCAAGAGTATACGTTAGGCAGCGATGTTCTAACAACTTGTGTTCGTTATTTGTGCTCTTTTTCTTCTTCTGAATCAGAAATTGAAGAAAATATTTGCCATATAGCGAGAATATTTATAAATCCCCTCAATTAGGTATGGGTGGGCCCATTTATAGGTTTAATTTTATGTAAAATCTGTCGTTTACTTACCGTCTCAATGTAGGGATTGGACTGAGGCCGTAGTCTATAAATATAGCTAGATTAAATTTAACGGAGCTCATAGGTTGGCATTTAGAATCATGGGAACAACCTTTGAGAGCTCAGCTGAATTTTCTTTTAGGCATTGTGTAACAACAGTGAAAGGCGTAGAAAAAGGTGAAGCAACTTTTCAATATTCGATAAAAAAAATATTTGCTCAAAACCACTATACACTTTGAATCTGCTTCAAGCCGAATTATTTGCACATGCCTAACTACTACACAGCAGAGAGCAGCGTGAGACATAATTAACAAAAAAGTGTCCGTTTGATGTCAAACTCATGACAATTACGTCACCGTGATACAAACCCCCTACAAAGCAGCCAAAAAACATCTTTTTTACGTCAAACACGAACCGAAGACTCCGTTGTTATTCCTAATAGGTAAATTGAGACATCTGCAAAATTACCTGCACATGAATGTTCAATAAATAAAAAAAAAATGACCGCCTCTCCGCGTGGTGAATGATGTTGATTGGGGCGAAGCTCGGGTGGTGCTGATGATACTGATTTTGGTCATAGGTAGTGCTGATGGTGCCGTTTTCATTCCTTTCAGTAGGAGAATGTGTAATTTTCTTCTTTTTTTTAAGAAGACAGATGGGATGGCATCTCAGAACCCTCATCTCTTTTTTTTCTTCTTTTTCTTGATACTGATTTTGGTCATAGGTAGTGCTGATGGTGCCACTTTCATTCATGTAAGTAGGAGATTATGTGGTTTTCTTAAGACAGATGGGATGGCATCTCAGAACCCCCCTACTCTTTTTCTTCTTTTTCTGTTTTCATAATTTGTTTTTCCAATTTTTTTCAATTTTTTTTTGCCCTACAGGAGCACCAGAGCTCACGAGCACGAGCACCCGACGCCGAACGGCGGACGGACATACGGACATGGCTAGCCCCTAAAAAGCTTCGCCCCTAATATCTCTAGCGGCCAAACCCTCTGCAGGTATGACACTTTAAATAGTCTCCCAACACCCCAGCAACTGCAGTTATTTTCCACGGGCTAACTAACTCGCAAAGAGATTGTATAAAATTTTCTGACATGAAAGCTCCAAATTGTCTGCTCCAAGAGTGGGAACCTCTGCTCCAAAACCTATTGTTCCCTGCTACAAGAGCTGCTCGAAATTGCCACTTGTCAGTTCCACTACTTAACGGTCATTACTCTAAATCACAACTTATTTAGTAGTTTTCGTTGTTATGATCCTTTGTCTGAAAGGTTGCAGGTTGCCCACTGGTCTATTTGATTTTTAGCCATGCAGTTCTTATCTGTTTTCAACCATGTTGGTTATGCCAATGGCATCCTCCGTTGGCAGTGACTGCAGAAACACATCATGATCCAGAGCAGCAGCAAACTATGCTGCAAGTTTATTTGAAGTGAAAAAAAAAAAAAAAAAAAAATGTGGGTGAGCAAACGATTCTTGCTGACAAATACACCATAAACAGGAAGCTTACCGTGTTTGCCCGATTCTAACGCGTCCCCAATTCTAACGTGCAGTTAGAGTTAGCCTCAAAATAATCAAAAAGAAAATTGCTGCCGATTCTACTGTGGAGGTAAAATAACAAAGATTGACCACATAGTTCACAGGTGAAATGTTATGAAACGTACGCCAACACCAAAAATAAATGTTGTGCACTAGTCGTTGAAAGAGTCCCACGATGCTTCTTCGCTATCCACAAAGGTAATACTAGATTTCTAAAGCATTTTGAGTGCCGTGCTTCTTGCGCATGTACGAGTGCGGGGCCGTCGCTTCTGCCAGGGTCGTCCTTCAAACAACATTAGTGAGCTCGTTGGGTGGCTGGGATTGCGAGGCCACGCAGTGCTGCTCCGTCGTTACCTTGTTCTGCCAGCGTGATGGCCTTTCGTTTACATAAAACCTCAGTGAATTTTTTTCTTCCCCATTTTAAGATGACAGACACGAGTCTAGATGCGAGAGAATGTGCGTGACACATATACCGAAATGGTGAACGTAAACAAACGGTCACGATGGCAATGGGGCTAGCCACCTTATGCCGAGCATCGAGTTTTTCTTGAATTTCGCTTTTTGGTTTCGAATGTAAAGGCCCGTTCACACTCTTGCGACCTCTTAAACCTGGGTTCCTTAAAACTTGTTAAACCAGAAAACACACTGGCGCCATCAATTGGGAAGCAGTGTAAACTCGGCGGTCCGGCATATTTTTTTTTATTTCTCGAGAATTATCCTTTCTTTCTTGGCTCGAAAAACTTTTGACAATGTTATGAACGAGCCTTTCTATAGGTATTACGCACATTTGACCTCGAAAATCCCGCAAAACCTTCGCTCTTGTGAAATGCAGTTCCAGGGTCACCGCATAGATGGCGCCACAATGTCAGTATGTTCCCTCATTCTAAAAACATTTAAGAAGTTGTAAGAGATCTCGTGTCTCTCAGTCGTACTCGGTCGCAAGAGTGTGAACGGGCCTTAATGCACATGTAGTTTTGGGCACAGATTTTGGCGAAAAAAAAAAGTGTTTGTTGGAATGGTGCAAACACGGTAAGCACGTATAGACAAAGAACAGATACTACATAACACTCAAAACGACACTATTCTATTTTTGTCCAAGACTGTGCCAGGGGCACTCGAACGAAAAGAGTAAACAAGGAGTAAACAAGGTGAAGGGAGAATCTGAAGAGCCAGTGGAAATAAGAATAGGGATAAAGAACAGAGGCAGGCCAAGGTCAATTAGGGTCAGAAGAAAGCTGCATGGCCTTGAATAACACAAGCAAGGGAGCAGACACATTATTCTCAAAACGTATGTCACGAAAGACCACAAATTTCATATCTGTCACTATTCTTGTGCCTCCCCAGGGTCCTGGTTGCTGGAAATCGAAAGGAGCAGTCTTTCTAAATTTGGGCATTTACCGAGAATGCGATGGTAAGGGACATGAAATTTTCATATCTCTCGTGACAATGGTTTCCGAAAATAATGTGTCTGCTTCTTCGCATGCATTGTCCAAGGTAAGGCAGCTTTCCTCCGACCCTAGCTGACCTACCGTGATATCCCAAGAGGTGCCCACCCCCGAAAGATAACCCACCCCTATATTTGGCACAATTCGGTATTTGTTTTTTCAAAAACTCCAAAAGACAGCCCATTTCTAGCCATCAAGATAACCCCCTCCCCCCCCCCCCCCCCCCCCCCCCCCCCCCCCCGCCAATGGTGACCTCGGCAGAGGTGTAACTTAGCCACGGCGGGAGATAAGCGAACACTGCTGACTGGGAAGGACAGTCCTCTCTTGTTCATCGCCACTCCCTTCGATTAAAAGTTTTGCAGGTCACGAAATCTAAAACTGTCATTTTGTCAACATTTTTGTATCGCACAGCGAGAGTAGCCCACTCCTTATTTTCACCCAATTTGCTTTTAATTTAAGGTGGGCTATCTCTGGGGATATTATGATAGTTCTGTCTGAGGGACCCCTCTGTTCTTTATCCTCTTTCCTTTCTCTGCTGATTCATCAGATTCTCTTAAATGGATGCTTGGGCAAGTTGGGTATTCATCATGTAGGAAATAGCGCCAAATTAAACTCACCCACACTGAAAATACTCGCACACCAGATAAAATATCCCTCGCGTCGCAGAAACTTACAACTCAGAATCTATTTTCGTCTTCTTCCTTTTTCTTTTACCCGCGTTGAAGTTGATTATATCTCACTTTGTTGTCATCTGTACGAACCAAATGGCAATGTCTATCACACATATAACCCTCAAGTGTCAAGATATAACTCTCTTGTAGTAAGCATTATAGACGGACTACTAACACAAGTATCCCTGATTTTCGTGACGTTAGCTGCCTCAATGATCTCATGTGTTAATAGTTGTCTCCAATTACGGTGCTATTTTTGAAGTCCGCAGTGCACCCACAGCTACGACAGTGAATGCATAAAAGTGCGGAGTTTGCTATTCGGGTGTTGTTGTTATGTTCTTTTAATCTGTCATTTCCACATCTTCGAGTTTGTCCTATGTTACTGTCTGCCGCATGAGAGGGGAAAGGAATAGATCACTCCTTCTGAGGAAGGGATGTATGGGGTTCTATGCTTTTTAGTGCAGCCTATGATAGTTTTTTGTAAGCTGTTAATTTTTTTTACATAAACCTGAGAGTTTGATGGGGGTGGAAAAGACTGCATTGGATGTTTGTACAATTCCCAATCTTCTCAAGGTTATGAGAAATTTTATGAATGTAGGGGATGACTATTGGTCTTTGGTTAGTGTATCTGTCGCATGACTTGCAAGAAGTGGTTTCACCTTTCTTAATCTGTTTGAGGAGAGTTTCGGTGACTGAAGTTAATAGATGTGAAGTATATCCCGCACCTAGTATCCAAGATACTTGTCCTGCAAAGCTTGTAAGGCCTGAATGTGAGCAGGACTTGAAAATAGATTTTTTTAAGCACTGATGGAATGCACCGAATTAAAATTGAGGAGCGGTTTTTTCCCTCTCGGCTCATACGACCAACAGGCATGACGGGGCTGAAGAGTCAATCTTAGGTCCAGAAATCTTAAGAATCCTTGCTCTGAAAGCTCGTGTGTAATCTTCTTAAGATTTCTGGACCTAAGATTGACTCTTCAGCCCCGTCATGCCTGTTGGTCGTATGAGCCGAGAGGGAAAAAACCGCTCCTCAATTTTAATTCGATGCATTCCATCAGTGCTTAAAAAAATCTATTTTCAAGTCCTGCTCACATTCAGGCCTTACAAGCTTTGCAGGACAAGTATCTTGGATACTAGGTGCGGGATATACTTCACATCTATTAACTTCAGTCACCGAAACTCTCCTCAAACAGATTAAGAAAGGTGAAACCACTTCTTGCAAGTCATGCGACAGATACACTAACCAAAGACCAATAGTCATCCCCTACATTCATAAAATTTCTCATAACCTTGAGAAGATTGGGAATTGTACAAACATCCAATGCAGTCTTTTCCACCCCCATCAAACTCTCAGGTTTATGTAAAAAAAATTAACAGCTTACAAAAAACTATCATAGGCTGCACTAAAAAGCATAGAACCCCATACATCCCTTCCTCAGAAGGAGTGATCTATTCCTTTCCCCTCTCATGCGGCAGACAGTAACATAGGACAAACTCGAAGATGTGGAAATGACAGATTAAAAGAACATAACAACACCCGAATAGCAAACTCCGCACTTTTATGCATTCACTGTCGTAGCTGTGGGTGCACTGCGGACTTCAAAAATAGCACCGTAATTGGAGACAACTATTAACACATGAGATCATTGAGGCAGCTAACGTCACGAAAATCAGGGATACTTGTGTTAGTAGTCCGTCTATAATGCTTACTACAAGAGAGTTATATCTTGACACTCGAGGGTTATATGTGTGATAGACATTGCCATTTGGTTCGTACAGATGACAACAAAGTGAGATATAATCAACTTCAACGCGGGTAAAAGAAAAAGGAAGAAGACGAAAATAGATTCTGAGTTGTAAGTTTCTGCGACGTGAGGGATATTTTATCTGGTGTGCGAGTATTTTCAGTGTGGGTGAGTTTAATTTGGTGCTATTTCCTACACCACTTCAGATTCGCCTTTTATCTGTTTCACTATTTTGAGCCAGTTGTACACAGTTGGACGAAATTAAAATATAGTCACTTTGAGAGTCTTCGTTGTCTGTTCCTTGCCTCTACGTGTTTGCTTTCTATTTAGGGTGTAATTTTTACTCTTGCGGCTCACCCGCAGCACGCCGCTTGCTGCGCCCGCCGTTTCGATCCGGTGCGGCGACCAGCCACGACTTCATGGTGGTTTCAACAGAAGTCTTCGTAGCCATAGAACATGTTGACCTGACAGCATCTATAAAAAAAAAGGAACATATAACTATTTTTAACATATTTACTATTCAAAAAGCAATAAACATTATAGCCACACTATAAGGAATGTCCTCACTCCTAAGATTTTCAATCTAATGCTGCTCTAGTGCAGAAACCGTGTACAAGTTGCAATACTATCAGTTACATACAGAACAGAAAAGAGGCTGCAGAGACATGTTGGTCATTTAAAGTGCCCTTTTAAGTATGTCCCTTAAGCAAGGTCCAAACCAAGCCTCAAAACAGGAGAAAACGGGTCCCAGAGAAATCCGGAGACAGAGGAGTGACATCAATGTGACGTTTTGCAGCTCCCTCTTTGCGGTCTAGAGTTGAAAATAGCCATCTTTTCCCGGCCCCGGAGAGAACCGCAAAGCGCCACAGAGTCCTGTTGGTCAAGCAGGGGAAGGCGGACCACCCTCCTCGCAAACCTTGAGCGGGGTGGGATGGGGGCGGAGTGTGCTAATTGCTTTTTGGACACTCAACAAAACGTCAAAGGGAGGCTTACCCTAGTGAAAAATGTTATTTTTATAAGTTATTTATTGGTCCAATAAACACATATGATCCAATAAGATCATATAAGAACATATACAAACCGTATAAGAACACACAAGATGTTTCTTATAACTTTAGTTATAAGAACAGTATTTTCACAACTGAAGGAAAAAAGTATTAAAGGGAAGCTACGGAGCTTCTTGGAAAAAATGAGTTAGAAGTGAATTCTAGTGTATTTTTACCCCGTGAACCCGAATACCCAAACCATTTGCTGCGTAAGTATTGTTAAACGCGAGAAAAACGCGAAAGACAGTCGCTGTCCGTGACGTCATCGACGGCTCTTTTGGCTGCCCAAGGCTAGGGAGGCGGGGCTTCAGTCCTATTTTGAAATTGCTCGTATGGCTCTCCGGCGGGTCGCATTGAAATACAATTTTGATATCTGTTAATCTAAAGGCCAAATGAACGCAATTCAAGCGTTTTTTCTCAAATGTAGAAGTGCCCCATCTTCCCTTTAAACAAAATTTATCAACACGCACACCCTGATATCTTGTGCTGCCCAAAAGAATAATCTGAAAATTGCGTTGCAAAAACTAAAGGGTAACCAAAAAAAAAAAAGTTTTTATTAAACAACCTAATTGGGACAAGCATGTCACAAAAATAATTTCCCGCTACAAAAAAAATTGATTTTTTTACAGCAATACTCATTGCGTGAGACCGATCTTAATTTGCGGCTATTTCGTCTGTTTTAAATCGCGTGCAACAAAGTTGTTAAAATATGTCACAGAGTGACGACACTTGGGGAAGTGACCATTTCCCGATCATTATCAAATGGTTCCCCACGGCATATAACCGCCTCCGGAAGCAAGTTCAGGTGACCGATTGGGATAAACTTCGATCATCTCTTAACATCACGGCGCAGAACCCAGAAACAGTTCAGAGAGCCATCAAAGAAGCCATGTTGGAGTGCACCACGACTACCACGGTGCACTGTGATCAACCAACACCTGATCCCCACCTCCTCAGCCTGTGGCAACAGCGACTTGAAGCGGTCACATTGGCCAGCCTTACACTCCGACGACCACCAACTTCAGAACATGTTGTCAGTCCGGCCTTCAGCTTGGTGAGGTCATTCCATAGCGTGAAAAGTCTGCCAGAGAGCCTCAGGGTGCCTCGGGTTACTCAACAAGGCACACCAGTCAAGCCAGCGTTGGCATGTAAGTCGTTTCTCGTGGCGGCGTGCCTTAGCTGCCACGTGGGAAGCCTCTTCCCACGTGGCAGCTAAGGCACGCTGCCACGAGAAACGACTTACACGCCAACGCTGGCTTGACTGGTGTGCCTCGTTGAGTAACCACGTGGGAAGCCTCTTCCCACGTGGCAGCTAAGGCACGCCGCCACGAGAAAAAACTTACACGCCAACGCTGGCTTGACTGGTGTGCCTTGTTGAGTAACCCGAAGCACCCTGAGGCTCTCTGGCGGACTTTTCACGCTATGGAACGACCTCACCAAGCTGAAGGCCGGACTGGCAACATTCAGTTGCGTCTGGGGCTCACCGACGATAAGTTTGCGGCGCGCGCGGCGGATACCTTTTTCCCTCGGCATGCCAGCCCGTCGGTCCCGCGCCCTGTCACGGCTATGCCAGACACTACTGGCATCACTATGCCCCTCACTCTGGCTGAGCTCCACGACGCCATCCAGAGTCCTAGTCGCCGCTCCAAAACATGACGGTCTCCCGTACGAGGTGTACAAGAACCTCGAGGGAGAAGCAGTCACAGACCTGCTAGCTATGATCAATAAGATCTGGGAAGCCGGCGAGCTCCCCACATCATGGAAACACTCGATTGTAGTGCCAATTCCCAAACCGGGCAAGGCACCGACCGGCCTCACAGCTCTGCGGCCTATATCACTGACTCCCACCATCTGCAAAATCTATGAGTGGATGATGGCTAAACGTATCTCTTGGTGGCTGGAGGCCCACTGTCTCTATCATTCCAACCAAATTGGATTCCGGCAACATCTTGGAACGGAAGATGGGCTCGACCGCCTTGCAAAGGAAGTCCTACATCTGTCACCCTATGGCCACTTGGTTTGCACACTTGTAGCTACTGACATAACAAAGGAATATGACAATATCGCTCACGCCCCACTGTTGGAGGCAATGGTGGTTCTCGGCCTCCCACCTCGTGTCATAAATGCTGTCCACGCCTTCATTATCGACAGAACTTTCGCCGTACGCCTATCATATGGCGAGTCGCCAAATTTCCCATCAAACTGTGGCGTGCCCCAAGGCTCAGTACTTGCATCACTCCTATTTAACATTGCATTCCTTCCCCTGGCCTGGGCTTTCGCTGATATACAACACCTTCATTTTTTATTATACGCTGATGATGTCACAATGTGGTCAGTTCCCCCATCCCTAGAGGTGCAACAAAATGCCTTACAGGACGGGCTGAATAAACTAGACTGCCATACAAAGACCTTTGGCCTAACGGTGTTTCCCGAGAAATCGCAATTCCTTCATGTGTGCAACAACGCTGCCCGGAAGAAACTGCCATTGACTCCCATACCCCTCAGAATAGGGTCGACACAGCTTGCGATGGTTACACAAACCAAGATCTTGGGACTCCTCATCCACCAGTCCGGCTCAGCCAAGCAGTGGCTTCAAGCGGCACGCAAGACGGCGGCGTCTACAACACACCTCACCCGTCGCATCTTTAAAAGATGAGACGAAGTGGGTACTGAGGTAGCCAAACGCCTAGTTAAGTCCGTCTCTCTACTTCGCTTGATATACCAAACTCAGTTCCAGCGTCTCACTGCATATCAGTGGAAGACTATCGAAATCGTCATTAGAGACGCCATTCGCGGGATTACTGGTCTCCCTCGGCATACACCTACCTGGCACCTTTACGAGTATGCACAACTAAACTCTAATGAACATATATTAGCACTGAACGCAGAGAAGCTCGCAATTTGAAGCATACCACCACTCCTATGTATGAGGAACCTCCCCGCTGTTTTCCGTACGTTGGGGCTCCCCCGCTGCCATGGTACTACACTACGATTATTACCAACAAGCCTGCTACCGTCCGCACACGCCCGCTCGGACGAGTTGTGTTAGATCTCTACGCCGTCGGAGCAACGTACCGACATGGCATCGCTACCACAGTCCATTGACCATCTCAGCCTTCCATTGACACATTGGTGTTCTATGCCAAACCATAGCCTCCTTTATACTGAAAATGCCTGCCCAATGGTTTCTTCGTCGTCGTCGTGCTTACTTCACAGATTTGCTACTAGGGGTGCCAAAACCCCATACAGAAATGCAGACGACGCTTGTTCGCTGCCTGCGGCTACAGTTCACTGCAGCTAGCGTAAGCTACGTTATCCGTTAAGCTACATGATAATGTAAGTTTCCTATGTTAAGTTACGCTGTAACGTGACCTTGCGTGATCAAATAGGTCACTTGATCACGTAATTTTTTTTTGTGACACGAGTAACTGCTTTCGGTCGTCGTTCGGCCGGCAGATAGAGCGCTTAGCGATTGCCGGCGTAGCTCAATAGCACGAGGCTGTCTGCGGCTCGTGGCACGCACACCGCGACGCCACACGTACACGCGCGGTCATTTCATTTCATTTATTGATCGTGGGCACATCAGCACCTTGTACTTAGTCCTGACACCTTGTGCTGCATTCTAACTCGCATGATACCTTACTGTTGTGTGCCTATGTGCAACTCGGACTCGCGAGTTGCACTTCCTATTGGTCATTAAGCAGGCTTTTATGGCTCCTTGTAATTCCCTCCTTGGGCACCAGGACAGGGGAGGACTATACTATCCATCAGAGAAGCTAGCGAGGGTGTTGTGTGCGCTGGAAGAACTTCGTAGAGATTTTACAGAAAAAACGAAATATGCTGAAAAAGCCGTTGCATGCAGCTGGTGATACTGCGGTGGATACACTTATACACCATGGCGCTCTAAAATACGCAAAGGTAGAGAAAGATGTCAATCATTATAAAGATTTCCTGCAACTAGGTATTAGGTATTTCAGGTCAATTTTTACAAACTACTCGGCATCCCTGACTGACGAGCATGACCCCAAGAAGATCTTCGCCAGCAAGCCACTATGTACGAAGTCGTTAAAACTCTAGAACTGCATACGTGAAAAACAGTGCGGACCACAAGAGACCGGTCAAAAACATCAAGGGGCTGTGCGCTTAAAAAACAAATTGAAAATGTATATCAAGATCCCCGGTCAGAGTGCTGCCGACGGGTGCGCAGGTTTTCGGTCAGCGGGGACGCGTTCGCGGTCCTGAGAAAAACCACTTGACTGCCGCATGTAGTCCACGGGCCGTGTGTTTTGCGGCTCTGCTCCAGTAGCAATAAAACACTAAGTGGTCGCTGTATCAACGTTTTGGAAGTCCGCCAGCCTGTCTGTCTCCTTTTTAATTGGCATTGACTATTTCTGTTGTCGATATGACAACCACCAGAGGTCTGGTAAC